TGTGTGTGTGTGTGTGTGTGTGTGTGTGTGTGTGTGTGTGTGTGTGTTGGTTGCACTGAGGGGGAAGGGTTTGAGGCGTCTGCTCATAGCGAGGTGCAGAGCTACACCAGGGAGCAGGGTGGAGATGAGAAACAACAAAACCGTTAACAGATACTGAGGACCACGCCAGCAAAGTCTGGATACTCAGGAGAAGGCTTAAACCCGAGTGTGCGTGCGTATGTGTGTGTGTGTACGTGTGTGTGTGTCTGTGTGTGTGCAGATGAGTAAATTCAACATAGGCTAAATGTGTGAGATCTTAAAAGAGAAAAAAGAAGGTGGGATATGACAGAAACTTTCTTACTTTCACGGAAGAATCTTTAATGTAATCTTGAAACATGAACTCTAAAGAAAGAAATCTCAGATGAACTTCTTTTGATATGTTCTGAGTCAATACGACAAGGTCTAGGCATTTTAAGCCTTAAATATATTCAAATAAAAAGCTGATTCCTCCCACAGTAACCCCATCCTCACAGGCCTCACACCCTGAGCTCTAAACAAGACCCCTGTCAGTCACACACATTTTGACTAATAGTTTCCACTTTTTAACAGTTCCTCAGCCTAATGAAAATATCCAAATTAATAGTTTTCTCTCCGGGGGGGGGAGTAATGAAGAAGTAATGAAGCTGCGGGCGCTCTCTTATCAAATTGTTAGGAAAGAGAGATTATGCTGCTGCCAAGCGAATGTGGTGCATGGTCACCTTTGTTCATATGCACATGCAGATTCTCATCAGTAATTCATGAAATGTATGGGTGGAAGTGGGTAGATAGTGTTAGCAGATGTGTTTCTGGGAGCCTATCGAAGGGGTGGGGAGGGAGGGACGGGACAGGGGGGGGTAAAGGTGCGCTGAGGAGAAGTTTCCTTCATTTGCATCTGACACACTTCACTACTCCGCTATTCAGACAGTACAATCATTTTAATAACTGTCTGTCTTCCTCTGCCACCCCCCCCCCCCACACACACACACACACACACTCCTTCCCCCAACACACACACACACTTCTGTTTGTTCTGACAAGTAAGATGATGTATCTGCAGACAGATTTGCAGCACTTTCTGTACTCATCTATCCAACTGGGCCAGGAAAAAGTCCAATTTTTTTACCAGGCAAGTGCTGAGGGGCATTTACAAGTTTGGCTAAAATTCTAACTTATTTTTCAACAACCTTTTTTTGTTTTTTTAAATTCTGTTCTTTTTGGTTGATGGCGTCAATTCTTGCGTGAGTGAAAATCAATTCAGTGCAATTATAATTAACTTTATATGACGTGTAAGAAACTTTGGATTTATTTGTTGTTTTTTTCAAGAAAAAGATTAAAAAGTCTAAGGCAAGCGCACAAACACGCTTTCAAAAAATGCGTTTTACAGAAGGCAGAGAAGCTGAACTGGCTCTCCGCTTTACATCTCACTGTGACGCCGATTGATCAAATTATTTCAAGACTAATCAACTGCAAATAAATATCATGAACTCAATCACCAGAAGCACGAACGTTAACAGTTTGAAGAAGAGCTGTTTTAAAAGTGAAAAACGCGACCGTTAAACGCTGAGTTTTTTTTTTCTGTCCGGGCGTCGATTATAGAAACGAAAAAAGAAAGAAAAAACTTTCCACCTCAGTAGCTGAAGTGCCAAAAACTTTAATCAGTCCTGCCTACAATCTTTTCCCTCACGCGGAGAGCAAACTAACTGAAACAGTGGCTCGATTTTACAACAGGAAAACACAAAAAAATGGGGCTACGAGAAATGATCAGAAGAATCGATGTTGGGTTTATGAGAAGCGCTTTTTCTGGCTGAGGCGCAGGTCTCTGCGCGCTGATTTCCTGTTCCAGACGCGCTAAAGTTCATCACGCACGGCTTGCTTTTTGGCCCCAGACATGTTTTCCAATCCTTAATCAAAACTTAAATTATTATTTTATTTTAAACAACTTTTTTTTGTAAGAATATGGAGCCGAACTTTAGGGGGATAATCTGAAGTTTACGCAGGGCGCGCGTCTGTTGCAACAGGTGCTACAGCAGGAGGGCAAAAAGTCCTAAAAATGACGGCAAAAGCTGGAAAATTCCCTTAAAACTGACCTAACACAGGATGTGTATATATTTCATGTAGCCTTAACATTTATTGGCGACACAATTTATTGACTTGTTCCCAATAGATTAAGGGGCACATGGAAAATGGGGAGCGTTTCCACTACTTCCTTTAAATTACCGGCTGTAGAAGCTGAATAAAAAAAACCCGGAAAAAAGTAACAGCGTTCCCCCTTATATTCGATTTTCAAATACTTTATGGAGACCCTTTTGACAGCAGAGAGCGACCCGCGCAGCACGGGATCTGATGCTGAGGCGCACCTGCACCGAAACTGTTAGGAGACTCCTTTCCAACCGGGCGCAAATGTTTCCTATACGAGAATTTATTGAGCGCCAACGGGCTCCCTTTTTCGGGGGGTCTCTTCCCCCACAGCCATGTTGCGGTTATTGGCAAGCCGAGAGACAAAAAAGCGCGGTGGAAGTCACTTTACCTGCTATTCCTTGAGTTTGCAGTATGAAGTTCTTCCAACTCTCCCCGGCTCCATGTGCAGAAGGTCGCAGCGCCGCGGCGGCCCCATGGAGCTGAGCCCGGAGTCCCTCCCCTCTCCACTGCACTTCCTCGTTCCAGCCCAGCATGTCTATGTCTGTGAGCTGGGCTGAGGCATTTTGCTCGCTTTTATCCAGCCGCATGTGGCGGGGAGTCGAGCCGCCGAACCCTTGGCACTCGGCTTTGTGCCGTGCCAATAAAAGCTGACACCCAGTAGACCATTACTGGCAGCCATGCATGAGATGGGATGAGGCGAGCGAGGAGAGTGGACCATTCATTGTTTATTTATTTCTTTCACGCCGAGGAAGCTGATGGCGGTGGTGGTTGGGGGGGTGGGGGGGACTCCTCGGTTGCATATTGGACAGCTCCCCTTCTGTCACCTGTTCTGGCGCTGAAGTAGTCCATGAAATTAACTCAAGTCTTTTGCTTGGCCATATAATGAGTTTTTCTTTAGAGACTTATCTTAATGTTTAAACCATTCTCTTTCTTTGGGTTTCTTTAGTGTCAGACCCTCTTGATTGATGGCACAATTGCGTATGGAAAACAGCGTTGCTTCCTTTCCCTTTACATTTTGCTCGTTATTGGCCTGCTTTAATGATGCCGATTGCGTCTCCAGTTCCTGTACCGGTCTTGCAGAAGATCATCACGCTGATTAGCAATTATTTGCTGAAATGTGGTTTTCCCTCTGGTTTTGCTGCAGAGGAGTCTACAAACCAAAGTTGCCTCCGGCTCCTAACCCATCAGAGAGCTGTTAGTTTCAGAGGATGCCATCACTGTAACCTTTTCATAAAAATGTACCCACACATCTGATTATTTTCTTCCAAAACTTGGAGGTTATCTGAAACAGAGAAACAAAGGCAATTCATATGCCTTTCCTGTCTGAATGTAACAATCAACCTTCTCTTCTGGAGCTATTTTAACGGCTTATGGTATAAGGAACTTTCAACACACACAGAGGCAGCCAACTATACAGACTTTTCTTTTAGTGGCAGCATCCATGGGCAGATGTGGAAAGAGGGATGGACAGAGAGAGACATATAAACTTAGGATCGGGCAAAAATGAAAAGTTAATGATTTGCAATGGATCAATTAACTATCCAAAGGAAGGCAGAATATAAGTAATTATAACTTATTTATAAAATGATCGACTGAATATTGGCGGTATGCCTTTACTAAATAACATACAGTGCTTCACTCAAAGCTTTAAGCTCAAGTAGCAAGAGTTGATATATTTTACAATTAAGAGTCAGTCATAGTCCCTTTTCTCTATTGGCGACTTTTTTCCCAGTATCCCACTGTCATCTGGCCCCAGAGAGGGCTCTTATCTCAGGAGAGGCTGTGTGCACTGGATTGCTGAGTCACCTTTGGAGGGAGGCTGCCCTTCTTATCTCCTAAGAAGCACAACATTCAGGCAGTTGGTTGCAAAAGGAGGAACTCTGGGCAGGAGCTCTGCGGCCTGCTGAGTCTTAAGGGCCCTAGCGTGGATTGCGGCAACCGGCTTCCTCAGAATCCCCGCTGTCTGCGCTGCCCGTCTGCCCCGTCGTTTTTTTCTGACCTGGGCAAGTGTGAACGGACCGGGGGACTCCTTAAAGAGAGCTGCCAGTGCACAGCAAGTCACAGTGCTAACTTCTGACCTGTCCAAAATATAAAAGATATTCAGTAGCGTGGACACGCCGATGCATTGGTTAAGATAGTTATCCGTCTTCATTTGAAAATACATCTCCAGCATTGGCAACCCGAGCTGCCCAGAAACCCCTTCCCCCCCGCCTCTGTTAACCCACAACACCAAGCAAGCCATGTTACTGTAATTAATATCATTACCTTGCAAGTTTCAAAACATCATCAGGTAGCGTAGCCGGTTGACTAGCGAACAAAAGACTCCGGATGGTTCTTATTTCATGGATCTTTAAGCAGTATTCACTGTTTCACATTTGGAAGCGTGAGCCGCATGTATCCCTTAATTGGTTTCAACACCTTAATAAGTCACAGACGTTCAAGACTGATAATCACATTAAATAGTCCAATTTATCTAAAAAGTCAACTGCAAACTGAAAAATTCTCTTTCTTTAGGAATGCATTATGCTGCGAGGATGTCGGAGTAAATTGAATTCCACTCTGCACACTAAAGCATCAATTTCCTTATGGTAATTATCTGCTGGAATAGACGTGTCACTAGAAGGAGTCAGGCATGCTTGACATTTAGCCTTTTTATAGAGAGGCGATGAGTAAAAATTAAGATGAGGAAAAGGAAATTAATCTCCAGCCCAGGCAGGCATTGAGAGATCCTGGTGGATAGTGGCTGAATCAGTCATGATATTTGTGAGCTTGTTTTGAAAAGAAGCCAGTGATGAGATTCAGACCACAGGCTGGAAAATCTGAAAAGAAGGAGGCGCTTTTTTCTTCTTTTTTTTTTAGGCTAATAGAGTTATGATTACAGTGAGAAGACTTATTTGATATAAGCAGTGGTTGCAAAGGTAGAAACTTAGGCTTTGGGACTTTTCTTTTTAAAGAAGTTGAGGGTAAAACTGAAACTCTATTCATTTCTGTAGAGGTTTACATGTAGGATCAGCCTGCAAAAAAAAAACAGCTATCTATCAGACACACCACAAGATGTTGGAATGGTAATCAACGAACCATAAAGGTTGTGCGGATTGTTGTTCTTTTAGAGCTAAGTCAGGTGTTTTCAAGTTTCTCAGTGTTTTCAGTGATTCTGGTATAATGGATAAAGAAAACTAATGAGAATTGTAATTCGGTCACACCCTTAGACAATACCTACAGGAGTGTGCTACCAAGTCCCACCTTTGTAAGCCGAAAAAGATAAATATACCTCACAGGAGCCTGTCCACATAAGAACAAACATCATGCTCACAAAAAAAAAACTTGGAGACGGTATATACATTCTTAGTTTAGGATAAACCAGTAACATCAACTGACTGGGGTTGGAAAATCATCATATTTAGGGCTAAGGTGTTTTTTTTTTCTTTAAAAAAATCTCCCTTTCTGATTCCATTTTGCTGTTTTCTTTTTTGGTTACAGGTGAATCCAACACATTCTTGTCCTAGCCTATGACATCACTTTGTTTGCATTAGAGAACATGGTTGCAAGTAAAATACATTATTTTTAAAGGCAACCAACCTAAAGCATCCTTTAAAAATGAGTGTAGGTGGTGTTAGCTTCTGGCTTTGTGATATAATACCAGAACATTGCCATAGTAGCATAGAAAACAAAATGTACTTTAAACCATTAATCAGAAGTTATCCACTTGGGAGTCAGGAAGATTATGTCCTTCTTCCCCTCTGGTCTTTATGTTACCTGTACACATATAAGTAATTCAGGTCTATCTGTCTATATACCTACATCCATACATGTATATCAGTCATCGTCAGCTGGGATAGGCTCCAGCTCCCCTTTCAGAACCCACTGGGAACACGCAGTATAGATTAATGGATGGGAAAATTGATTCTGAAAGTGCTCCACAATTTTAAGACAATTTGCAGATTGCTGAACTTGAAAAAAAATTTCGTGTGACTTGTGTGACTCTCCATCTTTATGGTGCTCTCTTTATTTCCAATAAAGTCGCTGGCTAATTGGTTATAACACCTTCGTCAAGCTGTCTCTTCTCAGGACTACTAACTCCAGCTTTTTGTTGCCCCTCATTACTTTTAGGAAGGAGTTGCTGCTATTAAATTCAGGATCGGTTGTTATTTTACGTGCAACATTTAAATGTGTCACTTTAACTTTTTACTTGAATGTGAGGTTTTCACATTTTTCTAAATGTGAATAAAACCTAGTGGAAAGGTTCCTTAAATAATTGTATGCTGCTGCTTTCGCAGGATCCAATTTCTTTTTGAGACTGATCAGGTCAATGAGTATTTTGAGCAATGAGCTGTAAGTGATGATATTGTTGAAATAACTGGATAGTGTCAATTCTTTTAAGTAGCTCAACCTAAAAATCTTTTTAAAAAGGCTTGTACACTGTCCTCTGTAGCTATGAAAAGAGCTTGGCAGCTTGAAAAAAACAACACTTAAATTTGATTAAACATTCCACTGAGCTGTATTATGGCAAACATCATCCCACGGCAGAAGAAAAAAAAAGATAATTTCTCAGGCTATCATTTCCAATAGCACCCAATCTTTTTTTTAAATCTTCATAATCTTCCAGTTAAATTCAGCCGTAGAGGCAGATTGAAGCGACCCCACTAATGGCGGTAAAGGTGGGAACACTCACAATGCACGCATTAGTGCTCACACAGCCCCAGCTCATCACAAAACCATCAGTGTGTTCAAGTACAAATCCTTGTGAAATGTAAATCTAAACAAACTACAGATGAAGAGAAACAGGAAAACCAGCTCATTCCTATTTCCTGCGTAAGCGCGCAGCAGCACAAACCGCAGACTTTAAGATAATGTCAGCAGGCTCTTCATATTGTTCATTCGCATCACAGCCACAAATAGAGAAAACTAATGCCTCCAAATGGTGTTCTAAACTGCATATTGTTTTTGAATGAGAGTAAATTACCATATAAAGAATAATTATAACTCACAGAATTGAATTTTACACACACACATATATAGATATATTTAAATATATATCTATATATATATATATGAAATACACAAGCTGAAAATCCTCTCTTACTACAACATTTTCCGCTTTTGGTCCCAGTCTTTGCCCTTCATGGTAGACACGGTGTGTGGGTTGACACAGGCAGACATGCACCAACGCACACATACAGTCAATAAGAGAGCAAGTGTTTAAGAGGACAATGCAAACGCTCGCTACCCAAAGTTAGAAAACCACTCATCTAAATCAGGGAAATTATGATAATGGGGCATCTCATTATTCTGCAGTTCACTCTGAATCAACCACTGACATCACACCATTAGAGATGTATTCATATAAACAGATCGGTTGGCATAAATAGGAAGCCGACACCTTCAAAACTTTCTCTTCTGGGTAGCTTTCGTGTCTCTCCATGTGTTTGTGTGCTGGGTGGGATGTGCAGGCCTTCGGATAGGGTTTGCTAAGGAGGTAGGGGTGTGGGGGTGTGGGGGGGGGCACAGAGGTCACCTTTTTGTACAAGGGTGTTAGAAAAACAACTGCAGGATCTTATTCTTTTTCATAAATACTAAAAAAAAGGTTTTTGATCAAGTGAAATCTCAATAGTCCATTTTCTTTCGTCAGGGTGAATAATTCTACTCCAAACCCCCAAAAAATACCCAAAGCAGTTGCGTAATCAAAGATCCCAGGGACGTCTGACGGTTACAGCAGACAGTTAATCAATCCAAGTGCCTGTCTTCTTTTTCTGTTTTGGGGGAAAAATATGGGAGGCCAGCCCAATCAGCAGAGGAAACAGATCTTAGGGGGGTGTCAAGCACCAGGAAAATGGATCTGGGTTGTGAAAAACCACTGTTACCACGAGCTGATCTGGATTCAGCCATCTGGAGATGCCTTCTCCAAAAGCCGGTTAAGTTCGCTAAACTGGGGCCCATCTAGGAAACAGGTTTCCACCTCCTTAACAGACAGCCACTCCCGGAGAGGAACAATGCTTGAAACTGTTGTTGTTCGTTTAAATTATAACGACCTATCCTGGAATACTTCCACTACCGTCGTCTTTTACCTTTCTAAATCTGTCTGAACAAGCGGTCAAATATCAGCAACGTTATTATCTGAGTTCAGACTTTTCCCTCCCCAGACTTTGTGAGACTTCCCATTTCTCACCTGTCTGGCTTTAGTGATTAAGTCCATTGTGTTCAAACATTTGTGAAACTTCCCATTCCTCCTGCCTTCCCCAACTGACCATTAACTTGCATTTCACCTGTTCCTGCACAAAACAAAACACATTTACCCAATGCAAACAACCACATGCCTGGAAAGCAATTTCAGCACAAATAAAAGAAAGATGAAAATGTAGCTCTGAAATAAGTGTATTCACCTTTCATATACTTTAGAGGGGGTGGGGGGATGCTGTGTACTATGTACCACACAGTTTGGTTTTCTTATCATATCTTTTATTATACTGAATTGAACGATCTTTTAGAATTTGATTCTTTCTTTATTTAAATCATTGGTACGATTTAGGTTTAAACATGTTCAGTTTCTCTGTTTGTTTACTTATATGTTGATTATAGTGTCAGCTGGGATAAGATCCAGCATCCACCCCTACACAGAACAGGAAAATAAGCTGTATGGACAAGAATGAATGAATTAACGGTTTGAGATCAGAGCTTTAGCTTATATCGCCCTCCAGTGGATATATTCTGTAATCCTCACATTAGTCGTAGTGAGGAAATGGACGTATGGGTTGGAAAGACAAACGTCAGAGTGTGCATTCATGAATAAAAAATGGTAACCAAGCAATGCTGAAGAGAAATCTGAGCAGCCACAGTGAATGTGTGTGACAGACACACTGGAAGCTGTAGGTGTGTGATGATGCTCCTGCTTAGAGTGTGTGGGCAGAGGCACTCACCCACATAGTCCTCATGATCCATGTGCTCCGAGCCTTTTCGCGCCACTGCAAATGCACATGAGCTCACACTTGAGGAAAGGTCAAAGTGAGTCCCCAAGAACGAGCCGCAGCCACCGAAAGATGAAGTGCTCATGTGTCTTGAGTTGTTTGACCTGATCTTGGATGTCTCAGTTAAAAACAGAATAAGTTTTAGTATTATAAAAGGCTTGATGCTTGCAATTTGAAGTTGCTTTTCAGATTACACAAGGTAAGATAGAAAATCAAAAACTATATAAAGAAGAAGGAGTACATAAAAGAGAAAAATTACCAATTAATTCAATTAAATTCAATTTTATTTTTATAGCACCAACTCACAACAACAGTTATCTCATAGCGCTTTCCAAAACAATTAAGTCATTGCTCATACCCTTTGCTCTATAAAGGTTGACATGAGAGAAAAATATTGTTTTACCCTACATTTGTCTCTTTCACAAAATATTTTTTTAAAACAATACAGATATAAAATTTAAAATGCACATTTTCTGCACAATATTGAAAAAAAACTGTGATGCTGAAAAAAAGGAAAAATAAATATTCTAACCTCAAGAACAAAATTTCGACTATGTGATGTTGCAAAAGATCTTAGAAATCTATGTATTAAAAAATTAAACATGTGGTATTAAAGGGTTGAACATGATCTATAACTGCCTTCTGTAAAGTAATGATGTTGCAAAGCATTCTAGAGCAATAAAGAAACATCTTTTAGTAAAATGATGAGTCATATATGCCTGTAGGAACTTGCAAAGACACATTTTGGTTAGGACAGAAATATGCAGATGACCAAAATGGAAGAAAAACAATAACTAAAACAAAGGCTAGACCTCTACAGTACAAGACAAGAAACAATATTTTAAAATAAGACGTTAAAAACAAGCACAGGAAGTAAAATTGAAATGGACCGGTAAGATAAGTTGGATGAATTACAAATATAAAATACAACCGGTCCAGGAATCCCCCATCTTTCATGTCCTGGCAGCTGGAGTAGGACAGCCCCTCACAAAATCTTAAAAGGAATTAACAAAATGCTGAAGACTGATAGAAGGATAGATGGGTGAATGGGTGCCGATGGACAGATATAAAACCTGGAATCCCAAAAAATCAAAAGGTGTTTCTTAACCAAACCCCACAGACCACCACCGGGCGGCCCCAGCCACCCTCCTCATAACCTCTGTACGGAAACCAAAATTCCTTGCCTCTAATCAGAATCAAACTGACTAGTCTCCCAAATTCCCACGAGTCAAACTAATCATTTGCGTTCATTTGAATTTTTAAACATTGCATGAACATTACCATCCATTGCATGAATTCTGTCAGGGAGCTGATTAACTGAGGAGCTGAGGCTCCCACAAGGCTCAAAGCAAAAGCACTTCATCTGCATGATTTCATTGTGCAGAAATTACCACCTAAAACGGGGCTCTTTTTTTCAGGGATGACATCACAGGAGCGAAAAAGCTCAAAATCCATTCACTCACAATCACCGGTAAAGTGAAAAGGATCTGGGGGCTGGCTTTACATGATGGATTGTGGTGCTAACAATCACATTATGTTCTGACCTCTTTGTGTCAGAAGGCTGCATGAAGCGTAGAACTGCTGCTGAGTCATCCATCCACAGGCTCGGGCCGGGGGGGTGGGGTGTGTGTGTGTGTGTGTGTGTGGGGGGGGGGGGG